AGGAAGAGATCAATCAATTGTTCCATCAACACACATCAGGACGTGGGAGACTCTTTATCCAGGAGGGTGGATCTTTTCTTGGGAGGAGAAGGAAGAAATTAAATTGATTTTCTACAAGCCCGTGCTTTACCTTCAGGCTTACAGGAAGAGGACTAGATCAGGTACCATACAGAATTTCTCTGTAGATAGGGACTGGCCTGGCTTCAGGATAAAAGGCAGGAGAAAGTCCCTCCATTCATCCATGGCGGAGAAGTGGGTGCGTGGGGGACAAATCCTATTCTTTGCCTCTTGTTAACTTGAATCTGTTTATAAGCTAGTTTTTTTTTCTGATCAGACGACCATTTGACTTCGTCAGCGTTGATAGTTAGTTCCCCTTTCTTAGGGATCGAGTCAGGACCTGTACCTACTGGTTGCTGCTATCCCCCTTACTTTGTCGCTGTCCTATCTTGCCCGCGTTTATCTGTTTATTTCCATCTGACCTCTTTGGCCTTAGTCTCTAGTTTATTTCCTACCTCTGAATGCTATTTTCCTGGGTGTGGTTATAGACCTTCAGAGGCTCCAGGTCAGAATCGGCAAGGTACCCGAAATCCGATATGGAACTCTAGACCTTCTGGACGCATTTCTGAACCAGCGAGATACCCCATCAAAGCCGCTAAGAATAGTTTCGGACTTGCACATGACACCGATCCAGACCCATCGGTCCTGTAGTAAATTCCATAGACTTCTTTCCTAGGATCATCACTTACTATCCTGCCTACCGCAAAAGTCATATATCATCGACCAACTGCTCAAGCGGTCAAGCCAAAAATTCTAGGTTCATCAAATAAGCTCATTTACAAACTCAATTCATTCATAGTCGGAGAGGTAAGGTAGGTACATCTTTAAGCCGAAAACCCATTGAATCTTTGGAGTTCGATGAATGCGACCAGTCTTGGACTGCAGCGTGCAGGCACATGCAGATCCAGACTCGGAGTTCTGGAACTCATCCTTTTACTACCAGTCTACCTTACTCCAATAAGGACCATAAAGCCTGCACAGAGAACAGCAGGGACCCTCCTGTTCGCCTACTCCGCTATCATCCTCTGGATAAATTGTCGATCAAGCACATGTGCCACATGACAATAGTCAATTTTCTTCTCGTCCGAATATCTAGTACTATGATATGATCTAGACCCCCAATTCAATTAATAATTCCTTGCTACTTGGTCTGTAAATTTACGTACTCAGTATAGCATCCCCTTATTGGACATGCGCTTTATTCCGTACATCGGCATTTATCCCCTGTTGTAGAATCTAGATTGCTTCCGGACAGAGAAGATCCAAATAAGCTTGGGAGATATCCCGGGCGGCCAAGGGTCTAGGAACGGTGGCAGGCTGGCAGCTCGTCCAGCGCTGTGATTTATGGAGAAATTTTTGTCAAATCCGGATACCCGGTTCGGCTACTTTAGTCTTGGTCTACCTTCTGGAAGCCGGAAGATTTGCTAACAACTTTGAACACAGAGGAACTGTACGATGCGTCAGGCATCAACATATCTAGATATTTATTTAGCCATAAATATGGTGTTAATGATATCGTTCGATTAATGCCCCTCATCTACACTATTACGTTGATCGGAAGAACTACGGTACTACCAGTAGAAATGTAGTTATGGCCCAGATAGTGGGCGGACTGTGACGTCTTCGACCAGACTTACCCTGCTACTCCGACTTCTCTTCTCCCTTCTCTTTTGCCTCTTTGGATCATTATTCCACACCCAATGCCAAGAGACGACCTGTTCCACCTTTGGATGATTGTGCAAACACATCGACTATTGACACTGCAAGGTTAGATCGTCCAGTCCATCATGAATAGCCTCGTGATACTTGAGTGAAGAGGGGTGCTAGACCAACTTTAAAAACAAGAAATAGACAAAACGAAAAGAAAGAAAAGAATGCGGCACTGGCACGCACTGTACTAGTAGTAGCAGCAGATGCACAGTTCGGCCTAGTTGGCCAAAACGGATGGTAGTACGGGACCTACAGGCAGTCAGGCACTCACGGGACGGAATCGTTGTTCTCTTTTAAGCGGGCCGAGTCCGACATACCTTCCGCACTTAGCTTTGGACTTTGGGGGGGGTTGGTCTGAGTGCCTGTATGCCAACCTTGCCAAGGTAGAATCATTGACCCTTACGCCCCTCACAGGAAGTACGAAACTGAACTATGGTCTTGTTCCGAGGCTTTCATAGTACTCCGTACGCAGTACTCGAGAAAAATTGTCCCTTCTGACCTTACAAGGCCGTTGTTTCCTGCAATTGCAACAGCAACTCGTCATCGAGCTTTTTTCGACTGATCACGCAATATGTCTTTAGTTTTTCGAATCATTCTACCTTAGGTAGTCTCTGCCTACCTTTGATCCTATCTCTCCTGGTAAGGTAATTATGCTCTGCAGCTTTAGATTTAATTGGACCAATCAAAGAGAAGGTCTGAATTCTCCAGACTAACCGTCTTGACGCTACTCCGTACCCCTCTTCAGCTTAATTCAGCAATTTTCGAGATCCCACCGAATAAGTCTAACCTGTTCATATACAGTCCAATAGAAATTCAAACAAAAGAGAGTACCAGCGTCCGCCAGGTCATTGAATTCGCATGTAATCTACAGAAACTCGATCAAAACGATGCGACGTCTTTCCTACTGTCACATTGAGCTGCCACAGGCAGCCCGGGATATCACCCAACCCCTCAAGAGGTCATATCATGTGCTATGAGCATCTCAAAATGCACAGAGTATCACATGTATCCCGCAAGTCTGTCATTTACTCAGACTCCTCCTCGCCGAGCTCGGCGCGGCGGCGAGCATTAGCCTCTTCCTTCTCCTTCTTCTGCAGGAAGAGCAGCGCGTTGATCTTGTCGGTGATCGTGTGCTCAGTGCTGATGGTGTTGGCGATCTGCTCACGGCCGATCAAGCTGGCCACGATGCTGGCTCCGACAACGAAGGTCAGGACAAAGCGGTACATGCCATACCAGTGGGGAGCACGGCCGTGGGCAGCAGCGCGGGCGTCGTTGTAGTACAGGAAGGTGAAGGCGAGGAACTGGCTGATCAAGGCATATTCGACGGGGAGCAGCAGGGTGGGCCAGGCAACAGCGGGGGCGATGACACCGGCAGCGTAGCGCCTGTAACCGTGCTTGCCACCGTATCCGGCCCATTCAAGACCCCAGTGAACAGCTCCAAGGAAGGAGAGGATCTTGAGGGTTGCTTCGCGTCAGGTAGGGAGCTTGACAGCGGGATAAATTCAAACTCACCACAGCACCATAGCCGACCTGGATAGGCTCGAGCATGTGAAGCATCAGCTCGGCAGTCTGGCCGGAGAAAATGAGGCCATCACCGGTGGCGGTAGCACGGTTGATCTCGTAGGAAAGGTAGACAGTCTCGAGAGAAGTAGCGAGGTAGGGGATGACACCAGCCATTCCGAGATAGAGAGCCTCCTTGGGGGTTCCCTCAAGGCTGAAAGTGTCCTTGATGACTTTCTGAAGGTTGTCAAACGCCAATGTTTAGTGATATATCCGATACATAACATAGGTACGGCAGGCTCCTGTCATTAATGCCGGCCAGACGTATCGAACTTACCGCTTCGGTCTTGATACCCGCCATCATGTCATGGTCCTCCTCGGCAACCTTGGCTTCCTGCAAACAAACATCAGCAATTGACCAGAACTCACAACATGAGTGGCACTGACCTTGGGGACGTTGGTAGAGCCCGGGACGCTGGAGGCATAGCGGACAAGCGCAGTGGTGACGGGCTTGCGGGTAGTCAGGGCCAAGCTGGATGTGCGAGCGGGAAAACGAGCGGAGGATGTCAGGTGAGCCTTGAACACATTGTTGGAGAAAGTCGAGCGGGCGACCGAAGCATTGGAGCTAGAGATAGCCCTGAGCATAGAGCGGGCAACCGAGTTTCTGTAGAGCATGGTGGACTGGGGTAGCTAATTTTTCCGATGTTTGGTTAGTGATGAGGTCTGGAAAGCTCGGATAGCCGGGATATAGCCGGCAGAGGACCCAATTGAGGCTGGAAAGTGCTACAAAATGGCTCGAAGATAGTGGCAAGGCTGTTTACCTGATGCTTTACCGAGCTGAACTCGTAAGAGTGGAGATTTTGTGGTCGTGGAAGCAGTCAATCCTGAGGGCCGGGAATGAAGTGATACAATGATGAGGTGTGGTAACGTCTGGCTTCGGCACACCATACAGACCAATCCCGTAACTGTCACCGGCAATTATTGCCTCAGGCATTGCATCGTTCAGTGACCTCCGGATCAAAATAGACGCCATAACGGGATGACCCGACATCACGTGGCCGAGTCAGCGCACCTCCAGGGTTGCAGCCCTAGGCATCTAACTAGATGCAGTCAGAGCGGAGTCTCCAGGAAAAGGGACCGACGTCACTCCTCGCAAGGTTGCCCGCTCAAGATCCACCGCGTCACGGCTGTTCAACGGCAACCACTACTGCTGGTACGCAAACCCCCTAATCAGTCGGCCAGCACATGTTTCCCCAGGCACTGAGCCATACATTTTCCTTACGACGCAATTGGGTAATCAGCTTGCCTTGATACCCAACTGTCTACGGCCCTGACACCAATATCTCATCCAGGTTTCCTGTCAAGTGGACACACGACCTACCGTTCTGACAGCTTGCTTTCATGTTTGCCCCATTATCCACGACATCGTACCGGTCTGGAAAACAGCTAGACTTCCTTCTTGAACTGGTTGGCCTGCATCAATCTTGAATGCGCTTTTTGCCAACCACCTGGATGGCTAAGGCTATTGTTACTTGCGAGTGTATCTAGAGCTCGCGCAGGTATGCCATTTCCTGCGAATTCATTCAAGCATTCCATGTTTTTACCATCCATCAATTAAATATATAAGTCATCTTTCTAATGCCGTCATCACTAGGTACTAGTGATTGTTATCATCCGTCAGCAACCTCTGACCTTCCCTTCGTCGACCTGGGTCACGGTCGCACCCCGCAGTCATGTTGGAAGGCTTGGTCGCAAACCTGCTCAATCGCTTCTTGGGCTATTATGTCAAGAATTTCGATGCAAAACAATTGAATATCGGTATCTGGTCCGGCGATGTCAAGCTTCGCAACCTCGAGCTGCGACGGGAGGCTCTTGATCAACTACATCTTCCGTTAAATGTCGTCGAAGGCCACCTCGGCGAGCTCACCCTGTCCATACCCTGGTCTAATCTGAGAGGGAAACCGGTCAAAGTTGAAATCGAAGATGTGTTTCTCCTAGCAGCCCCGAAGGAAGATGCGGACTATGACCCGGCGGAAGAGGAACGAAGAGCATATAACCTCAAGATGGAAAAGATTGAGAGTGCGGAAATCTTGCGAGAGCGGAATACAGAGGGCATGAGCCAGGAGGAGCAGCGACGGAACCAGAGCTTCACCCAGAGCCTCGTCACCGCCGTTGTTGACAACCTCCAAATATCCATCAAGAACGTGCACTTCCGATACGAGGACTCGATTGCTTCACCAGGTCACCCTTTCGCCATCGGTCTTACACTGAAGGAGCTCAGCGCTGTGAGCACTGACTCCGAATGGAACCCTACTTTCATCCAATCAACCTCCACTACCACCCACAAACTAGCTACACTGGGTGCGCTATCAGTATATTGGAACACTGATGCCGAGCTTCTGGGCACAGGACGAGGCTCTGACCTGGGCGCAGAAGCACAAGGCATTAGTCATGCGGAGCTGATTGAGAAACTAAGAACTGCCATAGAGGGCGAAGAGAGCCACCAGTTTATGCTTCGCCCCGTCAGTGGTCGTGCTGGCTTGGAGTTGGATAAGTCAGGAAAGCATGACCGGCCAGCCATCAAGACACGGTTACTATTTGATGAGCTTAGTTTCGTTCTGGACGACGATCAATATCGCGATGCTCTAATGCTAGTCGATCTTTTCCATTACTTTCTTCGTCATCAGGAATACAAGAAGCTCCAGCCGAAATGCAGACCGAAAGAGGACCCCCGGGCATGGTTCAGATTCGCCGGAGAAGCGGTTCTCAGCAAAATCCACGATCGGAACAGGCGCTGGTCGTGGGATTATATCAAAGAGCGACGGGACGACCGTATCGCCTACATCCATCTGTTCAAGAAGAAAAAGCGGGAGGAACCCTTGTCTCCACAGGAGGCAGAGGATTTTGAACGTCTAGAACGAAAGCTCAGTTACGAGGATATTCGATTTTGGAGGTCGTTGGCGAGAAATCAACTGCGGAAGGAGAATATTGGCCTCAAGAAGCCCGCACGCCAACAAACTTGGTCGGAATGGATATGGGGCACCAAGAAGGAGGAGTCTGAAGAGACCACGATGACCGAGGAGCAACGGCAGGAACTCTATAATGCCATTGACTGGGACGAGAAGAAAGCGATCTCCGAGAGTGTCGAAGTGCCGAGAGAGTGGGTAAAGCTTCAGGTCAACTCCGGTCTCAGAGCTGGAAGCTTCACATTGAGGCGTGATCCTCACGGAAAGTGTAGCGAAGTCATGAAACTGGTGTTTGACAATCTACGAGCGAAGGCTTTGCAGCGCCCGGATTCCTTCTTCATCGAAGTTGATCTGGGTGGGCTCAGAGTGTATGACGGAACAACCGAAGGTAGTCTCTTTCCACAGATAGTCAAGGTCAAGGATTCTCTCCCACAGTCCGAGGACAGTCAAACGCAGCCCCCTGATGGTGACGAGTTGCATCCGGAGGCCAACGAGGAATACGAGGAGGCTGAGGATAACCTGTTTCAATTCCAGCTTGAGAAGAACCCACTGGAGGGCGACGCCGACTCGGTGGTGAAAGTCAAGATGAAGAGTATCGAGGTCATCTATAATCCGAGGTTCCTTGTGGAGATTGTTAAATTCTTCGAGCCCCCTGAACGACACATGGAGTCCATTGGAGCCCTCTTGGACTCAGCAGGAGCAACTGTCGAGGAAATCCGCCAGCAAACCCGAGCAGGCTTGGAGTTTGCCCTGGAGGAGCACAAGAAAGTCGATGCTCACTTCGACATACACGCACCTCTCATTATAGTGCCAGAAAGCATTACACAAGAAAGCTCCCTCTGTCTCATCTTGGACGCAGGTCACATCAGTGTCAATAGTGAACTGGTCGATAGGCAGACCATGAGAGACCTCCAGGCCAAGCAGAAGCGGCAATACGATGAGAACGACTACAAGGAACTGGAGCATTTGCTATATGATAGATTCCTTCTTAAGCTTGACTCCACCCAGGTTTTGATCGGCCCTGGAATTGAGAGTACGAAATCGCAACTCACGTCCGAGGTCAAGAACCGAAACTTTCATATTATCGATCGTATAAACGTGGATTTTGTCTTGGAACTGTGTATAGTACCGAAAAGCACCGAGCTCACCAGGACCCGAATATCAGGCCATCTGCCGGAGTTACACGCTTCGATGTCTGACACAAAGTACAAGGGTCTGATGAAATTGATTGACATCGCGATTCCACGATTTGACGAGGGAGGTGTTTCCGATCGTTCGCCCGCAAAGAGCTCGAGTGAATCGACAACAGCAGGGAATAGAGCAAGATCGGCTTCCTTCCAGCCCTCAGTACATAGAGAACTGCCGGTCGTCGACGAAGATTCCGATTCCGAGACAGATCACGAGCAGACAAAGAAAAGTGTCGATAGACTGCCCAACATTCACCGCAAAGATTTTGAATTTAAGTTCACAGTTGGCTGTCTTCGTGGCTCACTGTTCCGGTCGGATCCAAATGACCAGTTTCGAGACCAATTGTTGGTAGAGCTTGTTGCTGAAGGTTTCGAATTAGACTATTACATGCGACCGTTCGACATGGTGGCAGAGATCGTTCTGCAGTCTCTGAGTGTGGACGACTATATCGAGGAAAACCCCATTCCTGACTTCAAGAGGATCATTTCTTCCAAGGGATTTGACGCAGACGAAGATAAGGACCTCTTTCACCTCAAATTTGTTCGAGTCAAGCCAGAGTCACCCGAGTTTCTGTCTACCTACGAAGGTATAGCAATGAACCTTGATATGTCCATATCTACCATAAACCTTGTGGTCACTAGGAAGACACTTCTCACTCTTCTGGATTTCGTTCTCCTCACCTTCACAAGCCCAGAGCAGCCCAGAACCCAGAAGCCGTCGTCCGACGAGACTGCTCAGGACACCACTGCTCTCACCCAGGACACAGAACAGCCGGGAAAGATTCGGATCAAAGCTGACTTGAAGAGCATCGCCCTCATTCTAAACAATGACGGCGTCAGACTTGCTACACTGAGTCTTAACACTGCGGACGTTGGAATTAATCTTGTTGGCCGCTCAATGCGTATCCAGTCTCGAATCGGTAGCTTAACCCTCATAGACGATGTCAACACCGGCGCCTCAGCCACCTCCGACCTGCGGAGGCTTTTGACCATCGAGGGTGATAACTTCGCTGATTTTAAATACGAGACCTTTGATCCCGAGAGCACAAATTATCCCGGTTACGACTCTGAGGTCTATCTGAGATCGGGTTCTATCAAAATCAATTTCCTCGAAGAGCCATATCGCAAGATCATCAATTTCCTTGTCAAGTTCGGCAAGATGCAGGCTATCTTTAATGCTGCCCGCCAGGCCGCGGCTAGTCAAGCCAACCAGCTGCAAGAGAATGCATCTAAGATGCGATTTGACGTCGTTGTCAAAACCCCAATCTTGGTATTTCCCGGTACCGTGAGACCTGATCGACCCCGCGACACAGTCACTGCTCATCTCGGAGAGATTTATGCTAAGAACACTTTCGTTCCTCTGGATGAACATGCGGAAAGTCCCGCCGTTAACCTGATTTCTTCAGGCATACGCAATATCCGCCTGACATCCAAGTTCCACTTCGGGGAAGATGTAGTCGAAGAGCTGGAGATGATCCAAAAAGTCAACTTGGACTTCAGCATCTGCTATCTTGAGCATCAGAAGGATAATCCACGTCCAGATATGGAAATCGAAGGGTCTATGTCTCCCATAAACCTTAGAGTGTCGCAAAAGCAGCTTAAATTTCTGCTAGAGCTCTCGAAAACTGTGCCCGGCGCTTTCTCAACCGACTATGAGCAGCAAGAACTCGAAGCCTTTGAAGATCTTCCTACGTCTGTAACAGACACAAGCAAAGGAGCAGATTCGAAACTCGCTCAAACCCCCCAGGAGCATGAAAATACCGCCGAAAGATCGGGTTTGGACGACGAGACCTGGGCCAAGCTAGATATGATTTTCAAGGTAGATAGTGTCGGTCTGGAACTTATCCTTGCAAAGGACGACGAGCCAGTGGGTGATCTGGAGAACTCGAGTCTGTCGAAGTTTTCGCTGAATGACACCAAAGTCAAATTGCGCATGCTTACCGATGGGTCTCTGGAATCCGAGCTCTTGATTCACTCCCTGTCTGTCCGCGACAGCCGCAATCAGGACACGAACAAATTCAGGAAGATCATGTCACTGATCAATAACGATGTGCAACAGCAATTCATGGCTAGTCTCTCTATGTCGCCCGGGCCAGAGAAACATCTTATTGCGATGTTGACGATCGACAGCCCACGTATCATACTGGCGCTGGACTATTTGTCCGCTTTGCAGTCGTTTATGAACTCGGTTTTCACCGCAGAGGAGCCGGTGGCCGTTGAAGAGATTGAGGAGACTGACGAAGCTTCTGAGCCAAGATCCAGTACCACAGAAAGTCCAGACCAAACTGCCATCGCCACCCCAGGCGAGGACTCGACAAGCTCGACCGGCCAGACAACGATTTCATTCAGAGTGAACCTTGTTGACGCCCAGATTATCATGATTGCCAACCCTGCCATTGCACATACCGAGGCTATAGTGCTTGGTACAAAGCAAGTACTCTTCTCCCAGCAAAACGTCTCTACACTGCAGATCAACAAAGTCGGCATGTTCTTGTGTCGCATGGACAAGTTCGAGACCAGTAGGCTGCGAATTTTGGACGATTTTACGCTGGAGCTGTCCATGGATAGCCGACCACAGGAGAAAGGCTCATCGCTAACTTCCATAGACGTGCACATTGAACCGTTGGTGCTGCGCCTTTCCCTCAGAGACATCTTGATGGCAATACAGATTGTCAATAAGGCCTCTGAAATGAGAGCAAACAGGTCACAGGAAATAGAGAGCGGCGACGTGAAGAGAGTACCAGATGGTAGACAACCCAGCGCAAAGTCCACTCGAAGGAGATCAAGCGCTGCGCGGTCGTCACATGCCCCTGCCTTGAAATCACGACGAGCATCGGGGGCGAGCGGCAAACCGGCTAATCAAGGAGCTGCTTCGGAACGCTCAGCTATACTGAAGCGCGAAGAACTGAGCGCGCAGATCGACGGCGTCAGAGTGATTCTCATAGGGGACTTGCATGATCTTCCATTGCTCGACTGGAGCGTCAAGAAATTCACCGTCGATGTTCGCGATTGGTCATCTGCACTGAATGCTGACACTAGCTTTGATACCTTCATCAACGTTTACAATTTCTCCAAGTCGGCCTGGGAACCGCTCATTGAACCATGGCAACTCGGTTTTCACGTCGCCAAGGAGGTCGACCCAGAAGTCTTTTCAATCGATGCCTACTCACATAAGAACATGGAGCTCACTGTGACCTCGGCTACAATTGCATTGGCATCCAAGTCCTTCCAATTTCTCTCTACCGATGAAGATGTTCTTTCCAAACCCCGCGGAGCCGACGCACCCTATCGGATTCGCAATTATACTGGCTTCGATCTTCGTGTCTGGGCGGATGTCAGCACTGGAGAGGAAGGGCCGGCTGCTAAGCTCTCTGACGGGGAAGAATACCCCTGGAGATTTGAAGACTCGACTGCAGTGCGTGAGACTCTTGCACCTGAAGGCCAAGGCGGCGTGGTCGGGGTGAAACTCGAAGGGAGCGGCTTCGAGAGCATCAACCGCATTCCTGTGGCTAGGGAGGGCGAATTCTTGTATAGCCTCAAACCCAAGGCGGATGGTGTTCTCCATAGGCTTCTAGTCGAAGTTAAGCTGGGTACCGACAACGTCAAGTATATTACCTTCCGCTCGCCGCTGGTTATCGAAAACAACACTCAAATACCGGTAGAGCTGGGCATCTTAAATCACAAAGAAGGACATCTCCTCAAGATTGAGAAGATTCTTCCTGGGGATGCTCGGCCTGCACCTGTAGGTGCCGCCTACTTGCATGCAGTCCTCATCCGTCCTGACCAGGGCTTCGGATATGAATGGTCAACAGAACCACTGCACTGGAAAGATCTTCTGCGGCGGCCTACTCGCACGATCAAGTGCATCAGCGAAAGCGGACAGCAGGCTCCGCCCTTCTATTTCCAGATGAATGCCACCTACAACCCAAAGGATTCCTTGACGAACGTCTATCCTTACATGCGTATACGCATTTTCGCTCCGGTGGAGATTGAGAATCTATTACCATATGATTTCAAATACCGCATTTATGACAAGAACACAAAGAAGGATTGGACCAATTTCCTAAGGAAGGGTGGTGTCAGTCCGGTCCACGTTGTTGAGCTATCTCATCTACTGCTTCTCAGTATTGACCTAGAGGACACTGTCTTTAGGCAAAGCGAATTCGCCATCATTAACGGAAATGCGCAAGATTACCGAAGGGAACACATGCTCTCGCTCAAGGATGAACAAGGGATTCCGTTAAGACTAAACCTCCACTACTTCAACGTTCCAGATAGTGGAGGCGCTTTCAAGGTGTCGATTTACAGTCCGTATCTTATCTTGAACAAGACAGGACTGCCAATGGAGATCCAGAGCAAGGCCTTCTTGCAATCAGCACGCTCCGCAGCTGGTGAGGGCCTGAACCCCGACCCAAGACATGGCGGGCGGGCTCTCCCATACATGTATGCTTATCAATCAGAAGATCCCAAGAACCGATCTATTTTGAAGATAGGAGATTCCGCCTGGAGCAAGCCGCAGAGTTTTGAGGCTCTTGGGAGCAACTTTGAAGTTGTCTTGTCCGATAGGCAAGGGAAGTGCGAGTTCCATGCAGGGGTGTCTGTTATGGAGGGTGAAGGCAAATATAAGATGACTAAAGTTGTCACTATCTCTCCTCGCTTCATCCTGAAAAACAAGCTGAGTGAGGACATTTTGGTCCGCGAACCCGGCTCATCAAACGTGCTTACCATCAAGAGTGGCAATTTGGTGCCCCTGCATTTCCTGCGCCAGATTGCAGAAAAGCAACTTTGCCTGTGCTTCCCCGGCGTGAACAATCAATGGTCATCGCCTTTCAACATTGCAGACGTTGGAACCGTACATGTGAAACTTGCCAAGGCAAATCAACGTCAGAGGCTTATCAAGGTTGATGTTATCATGGAAGGCGCTACACTTTTTATCCACTTCAGTTTGGAAACTCGAAATTGGCCCTTCTCCATGCGGAATGAGAGTGATTCCGAATTTATCTTCTACCAAGCTGTAAGCACCCTTGCGCGACATATGACTCGTATACATGCTAACCCACCGACTGCCTTATAGAATCCAAACGTGGAGGATGACGAGGAAGATAGAACAAGTGGCTGGCGGCCAATTCGCTACCGGCTCCCACCCCGCAGCATCATGCCATATGCATGGGATTATCCGGCCACGAAGAACAAGTCTCTCGTCTTGACATGTAATGGAAAGGAAAGGCATATCAGGCTCACCGAGATAGGCAACCTGATACCGATGAGGATACCGCCTTCACGACCTGGGGAGCCGCAAAAGATTGTTGATATCAACATCGTGGCTGACGGGCCGACCCAGACCCTCGTCTTGTCAAATTTCAAGCAATCTCGAAGTCTTTATAAGCAACAGAAGGCACAGACATCCCAGACCAGTGTGTCAACCGGTTTTGAGGTAAAGGAACTGGACTCGGACGTCAATTTCAAAGCTCAGCTACGTCTGGCGGGCATTGGGATCTCGTTGATCAACAAGAACCTGAAGGAGCTGCTATATCTCACTTTCCGCGAAATCGAGATCAAGTTCAGAGAATCAAGGGTTTACCAGACTTTGAACACAACGATCAAATGGATCCAGATCGATAATCAACTCTATGGGGGCATTTTCCCCATATTGTTGTATCCAAGCGTTGTGCCAAAGACCGGAAAGGAGATGGAGGCCCATCCGATCTTTCACGCCATGGTTACACGCGTAAAAGACGACTCTTACGGTGTACTTTACATTAAATATGCCACGGTACTACTTCAACAGATGACACTTGAGCTCGATGAGGACTTCATTTTCGCCATGCTCGATTTTGCAAAGGTCCCTGGTGCTTCATGGTCCGAAGAGCAGGAAGGAAAACTCTGCGATGAAGATCTAAAAATCCCAGAACCGCAGAATGAAAGTGCTAGCCAAGATGTGTACTTTGAGCTCCTTCATTTGCAGCCGATGCAGTTGGATATCTCCTTCATGCGGACAGAGAGGGTTAATGCCGAGAATACCATGCAGCCCTCCAACCCCCTCATGTTCTTCGTCAATGTCATATCCATGTCAATGGGCAATATCAACGACGCCCCCGTTCGTCTCAATGCTCTTATGTTAGAGAACGCTCGTGTCTCTTTCGGAATCCTTTTGAACAATATTCAGAGACATTACACTCAGGAATTCCTTCGTCAAGTCCACGTCATTCTGGGGTCGGCGGATTTCCTGGGAAATCCAGTGGGTCTGTTCAATAACGTCAGCTCTGGTGTTGCTGCTATCTTCTACGAGCCCTATCAGGGACTGGTCATGACCGATCGGCCTCAGGAACTGGGCATGGGTATTGCAAAAGGCGCTACAAGCTTTGTCAAGAAGTCCGTCTTTGGTTTTTCAGACAGTATGGCCAAATTCACCGGAAGCATGTCCAAGGGACTTGCGGTTGCCACGCTAGACAAAGAATTTCAAGATCAGCGACGAATGTCGAAGTCTCGGAATCGGCCAAAGCATGCATTGTATGGTATCACGGCCGGTGGAAATGCGTTCGCAACCAGCTTAGCAAGCGGCATTGGAGGACTTGCTCGCCACCCGCTGGAGGGTGCGGAGAAAGAAGGTCTCCAAGGTTTCATCAAAGGTGTCGGCAAGGGTGTACTTGGACTGGCCACCAAGCCGGCAATAGGCGCCTTCGACCTTGCCTCAAGTACGTCAATTTCTCAAGAAAATAAAGATGTTCATGCTGACTGTTGTCTAGATCTCGCCGAGGGTGTACGAAACACCACGACAGTGTTTGATGCGGAAGGTCTTGACCGTGTTCGCCTAACCCGTTTCATTGCCACGGACGGTATAGTGCGGCCATACTCACAGCGCGAGGCTTTGGGTCAATTTTGGCTTAAGACAGCCGACGACGGCAAGTATTTCAACGAAGACTACATTGCGCACTTGGAGCTGCCGGGCAAGGACATGCTGGTCATGTTGACGTACGACCGAATAATGCTTGTGCGGAGCAAGAGACTCCGAACAGAATGGGATATCCGATTGACAGACATCCAAACCATTTCCAAGGAACGGACTGGTATGAGCATCACGCTGAAGGGTGGCGCAAACGGGCCTTTCATTCCCGTGCAAGACGAGAGCTCGAGGAATTGGCTGTACCGCCAGATCGCCATTGGTAGGTCTATCCCGATAACCTGCGGAGTGAACGGTTACTAATCATCTGAAACAAAAGCTGTCAACGCATTCAATGAAAGGTACAATACGAGAGTTTGAATTGGGATTCCTTCCATCTTAAATATCCAGGCCACATCTCTCTCACAAGAGAATGTGTTGAATGGAACCAACACGAGGATGTATGATGCATTGAACGTACTTGGTCAGATTCTACACTCGCATTCCGTTTTTCACAGTATATAATTCTACCAAAGCCCTTTTAGTGATGAGCATGATATTATCAATGTACATAGCCACACTTTTTTTTCTAAACAGAACGACTCTTTCTTTCTGACGGTGTCAAAGTAGTCTAGAATATATTACACCACTATCTGTATCTAGATCTGGCTCAGACTAATTTGCCGATGTCTCCTAACGAACGTGCTCGAAGGGCATCCTTAGAATCATATAGTCGTGGCCAGACGAAGCTTCATTTCATCACATATGTGGAGATAAATCTATCAGAGAGCAAATAAAGTAAACATGGGTATCATCAATTTCCCGGTTGAACGCGCAGAAACAGAGGCTCCAGGGAAGCTCAGAGTACTTGAGACAAAGACTGATATGTCACTTGCCCTCGGCACGCTCCACAAGCCGATCTTCCAGACCCATAGGTTCCCAAATATCCTTCGCTTTCTTGTTTTGAACCCAGACGACATCTCCCTGTACGAATGCGAGAACTCCGCCCTTCCCGGTGGCACTGGCCGTGATGCGGAAGAGTGGCTGACCGTTCTGGGGGTGCGCTTCCCGCAGGGGCAGTATGATAAGACCCTGTTCCATGCACCACGATTCGAGAATATCCTTGAAGGCGATTTCCTCGACGACCTTGGGCTTGCGAGGGGGTGCAGGAGCTTCTGGAGCGACGCGTGGTACGGCTTCTGTGGGGGCCGGTTGCGCTGCGACGCTGGGAGCTGGTAGCTCGGTGGCGGGGTCGTCCAGGCGGGACGCAAGGTCCATTTGTTGAAGACCTTTGTTCCATTCGTCGTCGACGACGGCGAGCTCGTTGATCTCTGCGGGGATCTGAGTGCGCCACCAGGTGAACCATTCGCCGACCTCTTCGAAGTTGGGGTCATGGGTAAGCCAGAAGTATAGGGTTTCGTGCCATTTAGGGAAGAACTCGGCCACCAAAAGAAGGCCAAGGACATTGGGCCTGAAGAATCCTTTCCACTTAAGGATATCCTCCAAAGCAGTCAAGTCCTGATCTTGAGGGTTTACCTTAAATTCTTCGCGCAGGTGAGTCGCAAGACGGGGCAGTAAGTGGTTACGTAGGCTAACATCGAACTCGGACCCTAGCGCGTCTCTCCAGAGTTCGATACCACTTATCAGACCCTTGCTGAGATCCCACGATTCCAACATCCTACGGAACTTGTTTTTTGCGTCTGAAAGGAGACCCGTGGGTTGTCTCGGGTTCGTGTGACGCTCGTCCAAGTACTGGAGCCAAGTGAAGAGCCACCATGGAGAGCGATGGGACGAGGGATGACGCCTGCTGCTGCTTCTGGGCTTCCACTCTTTCAGGCCGCCGCTAAGCTTGGGAACGATGAGCTGGTCGAGCACGTTTGTGAACACGAAACCCGGTAATATCTCTTTCCAGGATACGATCAGTGATGTGGCAGGGGACGGGTCGAACACATCCCAGTCGTTAATGAGCGCAGAGCGGACTCGGGGGAGCCAAAGAGTGTAGATCATAGTTTCGTATGGCGACGTCGCTGGCCTTGACACGGTTTCGTCATTTTTCTTCCTGCTGAGAAGGGGCTGAAGACGACGAAGATTAGATACAAGGAATGTTGGCTCTTGAAGAGGATCCCAATCCTCCATCGCTTGGCGGAAGAGCGGGTGAATAGCAGCGACCGCCGTCTCTGATAGTCGATACTCGTCGATCTCGCTTCGGTACTTCATCTCTATCGATTCGAGCTTGCTGGTCAATTCTTCAAACCGTGCAAGCGTACTGTCTTCTTCGAAAATCTCCAGCTGTCCAATAGCGGTGATGAGGTCCGTGAGTTGATCCGTCTTGAGCTGATTGGTGTCCAGTTGTTCCACGATCTGAGCTTCCTCCAACTCAGCAAACTTCTTTCGTTCCGTCAACCCTTTCCATTCATCGGCAAACGCTTCGAGGTCGTGACGCGCTCGTCGTGCGATCTTCAACGCCTCTCCTTCACCTTGATTGACAAACTCCAAAGGAGTCATGAGGCCGGCTGTGGAGGTCAGAACTCGCTGTTCCTTGCCAGTGGCATCAATCAGCGACTTTAGCACGTTTGGCACCTCCAGACCATCCATATCCGCCTCAATTTCGCGTGCGGTTCTAAAACGAGGTTTCGCTCGAGGGACCGGTGTCCCCGTCCCACTCCTGCTCTCCCGCTGACGTTCTTCCTTCTTTTTCCGTCGTCTCCTCCGTTCTTCATCTGAACTGTCTTCGACAACTTCACCTCGGGCAGCTGCTTGTCGCTTCTCCTCCTCTCGAGCTTGTTTCGTTTTCTCGCGGACGGCACCCAACCCAGCGCCCGTCGGCCGCGCTTGCGCCTCGATCGGGGTGACGATACCCTGTCCACTCGCACCCAAACCTTGCCCTTCTTTGTAACCCATCTTAGCCATCATACGCGCAGCAAAAGAATTCCCTCCGCCGGTGATGGGTTTGCTGGTATGGGCGTTTCCGCCTCGGGGGGCAGAGGTGGCTGACTGCATGTTGTTATTCCAGGGATTACGACGAGCACTTCCCAGGCCGAAAGAAGGAGGCGACTCGGAGCGAGAGGAAGCTCTCGCAAAGCCGCGAAAGCCTGTGGAAGCGCGAGCATCTTCCTCATCTGAGCTCAAATCGACGACTTTACGCTTCTGGCCAGCGAAGGAAGAGGAGCTCGGTGACTCCATGGCCGGTCTAACGGGGGCAAATGCAACGTAGTACGTCTGAAAGTCACAGCCTTTTCAGTTTAACTGATGGCGTGCAAAGTGAGGTTAGTCTGATCTATGAAAAATCCATGAAAAATGAGCTGGCAACGACGCCGTGTGATCGGCTTCTAGAACATGAAGATAATAATAAGCCGTATCTGATTTCTTTCGTAATCGCTCGGGCGGTGACGGGGCGGGGAAACGCGAGCTCCGAGGGGAGAGAAACAATGACGTTTGTTGCCCGTTCTTCTCCTTCGAGCCGATTCTTCTCTTCTTTCTCTCTTCATTTCTTCTTGTCCTTTGCCTTTGAGAAGCATCAGAATAGTTTCCTGTTTGTCTCTTCATTCCTTCAGTGAACGACATCTCTCAATTACACAATGGCCGCCTCTCTCATCCGCACCTCTGCGCGTACCGCCCTCCGCTCCGGAGCTTCGGCTACTCCAAGAGCTGCTGCGAGCTTGACTTTTGCCCGCGGCAAAGCTACTCTGCCTGACCTGTCTTGTATGTTGGCTTCCCCTCATCAACGCATTCCTCGTCTCAAGATGGGAGCCTCCTTCCTTCGTTTAAAGTGGAATACCGACGCTGTATCCGAGCTACACAATCTCACTTTCACATATATCTACTAGCGTAGCATTACAATTGCAGTCTCTGAATGAAACTAATCATGGATAACAGACGATTATGGTGCTTTGGAGCCTTCGATCTCTGGCAAGATCATGGAGCTTCACCACAAGAACCACCACCAAACCTATGTCAACAGCTACAACCAGGCCATCGAGCAGCTGCAGGAGGCTCAGGCCAAGAACGACATTGCGTCCCAGATCGCCCTGAAGCCCCTGATCAACTTCCACGGCGGTGGTCACCTCAACCACACTCTCTTCTGGGAGAACCTGGCCCCTAAGAGCTCTGGTGGTGGTGAGCCCCCGAGTGGTGCTCTGGCCAAGGCCATCGAGGAGACATATGGCAGCTTGGACAACTTCCAGGGTAAGATGAACACCGCTCTGGCTGGCATCCAGGGAAGCGGATGGGCTTGGCTTGTCAGGGACAAGCAAACCGGACACATTGGCATCAAGACCTATGCCGTAAGTGCAACCATTCTGAAGGAGTCAATCCCAGACAACTAACTTCGAATTAGAACCAAGACCCTGTTGTCGGCCAGTTCCAGCCTCTTCTTGGCATTGACGCCTGGGAGCATGCCTATTAGTAAGTGGCCCTTTCTAACCTTGCCATCCAATGCCGGTCAACAGTAGCTGATGCAAACACACTCCGCAGTCTGCAATACCAGAACCGCAAGGCCGAGTACTTCAAGGCCATCTGGGAGGTTATCAACTGGAAGTGTGTGGAGAAGCGCTTCTCCGCATAGATTATCTATGAGCATTGTCTGTTGACACAGCTTTGGTTGGAGCGTTCTTCTGTTGGTTTGTCGCATATGATTGTATAATGATTTCCTGTATCTGATATAGCCCTAATCAACAAATGCACCAACAACTGCCAGTCACTCTCGCAATTTTTACCTCATGATTGTAGTCATTGTATGAGTCCTGCAGCTCTCCGGATAGTCGCGGATATGATCTCCCGTAACAGCCGGTATTGTTACCGTACTGAGCTCTTTAAGGCGTCATCCAATCTCCAAAAACGGAAATTCAATCCTCCAGGTCCGTTCCGCAGTATGACGAGCATATAGGCAAAGAAGACACCAACTCTTCAACTACCTCCCATTCATCGCCGGCCGCCTTTTCCAGCAGGATGTCTGCAGAGAGCCCGGGGCAGAAAACTGGCTTTCGAGCCTTTTTAACAAACGCTCTGCGACCGAAAAAATCCCGCCAAGTTCTCCGCAAGAACACCGCATCTACACCAAACCTCCGAGCGGCTGCACGACCGAGCATTGCCAGCGATGAAGTTCCTGAAGTTCCTTCGCTTGCGCCTTTGCAGGCCCATCGTCTAAAGTATCGGGAGAAACATGCACTAGTGGATACCCAGCTAGGCGAGACTCGCGACCCTACGGCTATGCTACATTCGATAGGTATTCTTGATACGGAAGATTCGGATGGCTTTGCATCAGACTTGCAAAAAGACAATCGACCCCCGGGGGAGCCGATGATTGCAAGCCTATCACAAGATCTCTGGGCGCTTGTTGCAGAATATCTCAATCCGGCAGAGCGAGCCAGCTTAGCATTTGC